AACTTATCGTCCTCGGCCGCCGCTACCATCACGGATCCTTTCGCTAACTTTGCCGCGGTCCTTTCAGCGACTCCGCTAATACACCATGGATGCGAACAATGTAAAGCCAACGGCATACGATACTATTTTTCCCACTGGATTGCTTATAAAGATGCAGAGTTGCGAGTTAGATGACTTGAGGCTAAAGCCAACGGCACGCGATATTATTATTTCCTACTGGATTGCTTACGAGAGCCAAGCAGGATGCAGAGATTTTCGATCAGGTGACTTAAGGCCAAACCCTGATTGGCTCTCGTAAGCAATCCAGTAGGAAAAATAGTATCGTGTGTCGTTGGCTTAAGGGTACACGGAAAGAATGTTCTTTTAAAGTTTAAACCCTGAAAATCATGTAATCGTGACACAACATAGCATTTTGATGAATTTTATGTGAGTTTTTTTTAAATTTTACCACACATCTCGCTAATAAAATGTGTACTAAGTACAATTACTAGTAAAATGTATGGTAAAATTTCAAAAAATTCTCATAAAATTCCTCGAAATTCCGTGTCCCACGATTACACGACTTTTAGGATAAATTTTAAAAGAAAATTCTCTCCGTGCGTTAGTTGGCGCGACAAACCGAACAGACATTTCTATCTATTCGTTAAAAGAGAAATGAGAGTAATTGCTAAACGTACGGATCAGTCGGAGAACCGCCTTTGGCGCGCGCGAAAGAGAGAAACGCGTAAAGGGCGCGAGGAATTAAAATTACGAATTACCGCGCGACGGGCCGCGCGCGCACGCGCGTGCGGGGCCCGGTAATAAGATAGGAATTTATACAACGCCGCGGCTTTTAGTTCGGCAGCAATTTCTTACGCTTACCGCGGCAATTTATGCGCGTATTACGTTTTAAACGGCGCGCGCACTTACTTGTATTTCAAATTTCGGGGCGAAAGCGGGACGTAAGTATAAGGAGCGCCGCGCTCTCGGCCCGAAACGAGCAACCGTACATTAATTCCGGCTTTATTAAATTTATTGCAACGCCGTAATTCGAGGGGCCCGACGCCCCCGCCCCCGGGGGGCGGCCCGCCCGCCTCTTATCAGCGCGCCAAGAGCCGGCTTGCCCCCCTTGCGCGGGAATCTCTTCTCATCGGGCCGACCAATGCCTTGGGTTACTGTCCATGATGAGACGTTGTGTACACGGGTTCGGCATACGTGACACCATTACCGATACGACCGAAAGCTGACCGAAAGCGCCAAGTTACGCTCGATCGGCGTCAACTGGCGGCCGCTGGAGAGGGACCACCTCGAAAGCCAGAAAGATCGCAACTTTCGATTCGTACGCATCGCCATTAACTCACGCGCGCGTCCCGTTCCAGGCTTCTTTGTACCCAAAATCAATTTCCCGTGCCTGTGCCCACGATTCTAGAACTTGGTCCAAGTTCTGCTTTCGAGAAGTGTGTAGCCCGTCAACTTGCAGCTTCTATGGAGTAGCTGTAAGTTGAGCTTGGACCAAGTTCCCAGCATCGTGGACACGGGCCTTTAGAGATGTTTGAAAATTAACTAGAAGCAAATTACATAGGCAGAAGCCGATGAGGAATTACGGTTGCTATGATTTTGTTTATAGGCTCTATGATGGGATAATTTTATCTTTTAATTGTATTTTCTCTCGGAAACGTGTCGGATAAGATACTAAAAACGAAACTTTTTTCCTCTCAAGGCGTGAACGGTGTTTGCAATCACGTATCTTCATCAGCTCAGATGAGAAACGGGACGATTGCAAGTGAAATTTGATTAAAGGGTTCGATTCATGTAGGACATTCGACAATACATACGTATATTATTCGTACTACATTATTGCAGATCGCGGAGAAATCATTTTTACTCTTTCCACATCTTATTTCTAAAACTAAAGTTTCCAGTGATAGCTAGGAAAGATTGAAATAAAATTGGCGCGTTATTAAAGCAACTGCACTTAATAATCGCCAGCATATTTCTCGGTGAATAAATTAGTTACGATAACTCGCGTGTGATTTGAAATATATGTAAATAAATACTCCGTTGCTCGCTTATTTGTGCTTGCGACTTATGTATGTTGAAATTATATTTAAACATATTGCTCTTTCGCACCACACATTCGCACAATTTGCGGAATATTTAATCCTGAAAATATAAGTGGGACAAATACAAATCCGAAATTTTATTTACTTGCTAAATATTGGAGAGGAATAGAGGTAAAAATGATTTAGCAAATACAATTTCACCTACCGAGTTCGATAATATCACGTATAGATAAAATAGTTTACTTTTACTCCACGGAAATGCATAAATATTTGATCTCGATAACTGTATTTCGATGAAGGTAACGCGAACACTAGGAAGAGATTTAAATAAAAGCTTTATATTCTAAAATGCTCATTTTTATTGGACGCTGCTTTAGATTTTTTTCTTCGTATAGATAAGGTTTCCTATTTCTCCTAATTTTTTCTCATTCATTTAAACAATGAATTCGAAAACTTATTCAGTTACAATAAACTAAGAATTTCTCGAACAACGTTTTAACATTATTTCGAATACTCAATATTTCTAATTACTATATTTCACTTCATAAATATGCGATCACTTGTATGTTTCAGGATTAAATATATTACTAGCAATCTGTCCTAGCATTATCGTGCTTAATATTTCCAATTACTATGTTTCACCCCATAAATATGCGATCATTTGTATGTTTCAGAATTAAATATATTACTAGCAATCTGTCCTAGCTTATCTGTCCCTCTCGAGACGATAAATCTCCGAAATACATTTATTATTACACTAACGTGTCTTCCTTCATAGTCGAATTATCTCGAATTAAAGTAAAACGCATGATTCGACTTACCAATTTGAAGCGCAGCAGCGGAGGTGTAAGACAATCTGCAAAATAACAAAGTAATTAAAGCAACGTCAGAAATAAACGACATTTAAAAATGTCGCCAATTTTTCATACATATTCCCCCCTCTCTCTCTACTTTCATTTTAATTTTCTTTCTTTCACTCTACTGCATTACGCAAGTTCTTTTCTATTTTATGTACGCTAGTTATAATAAATTGTCATAATCCGTTACATTGTCCCTTTAGGGAACTAAGTCCCAGAGCGTTCAATAAATAACCATTCTAACATTCTACCGATCCCCCCCCCCCCTCTCTCTCTCTCCCTCTCTTGCACTCATTCATTTATTCACGCACGCATGCACGCACAAGCGGAAGAGAAAATGTATCTGGTAATGATACAATTTCCCGAAAATGACCCAATCCCGTAACGAGCAGTAAATAAATGAGACACTCACCCGTGGTTGCTCCGCCGACGCCCGATGCCTCCCAGACCTCCGCCTCCTCTCAGTCTTCTTCGTCGCACACGCACAACACTCGCGACACTCGGTACGGCACTCCCGAGGCTAAACGAGGACGACGCGCGCTCCATTTTTACGTCGCGATCGCGCCAAGCCGCGACATCCGCCCACCGCCCGCGAGACACAGCGAATTGACGAACGGCGACGCGCAATATGGCGCGGGAGGGACGAGAGGTGACGCGCGCCAACTTCACGCGCGTCAACCGTCGCGCGACACGACGCTCGGACGGCAATTAGTAGGCGCGACCAAAGTAAGATTCGCCGAAACCGCGACAGATCTCGAGCGATTTCGCGGGATTGTGCGCGCCGATGAGTCCGCGAGCGCTGAATTGACGCCGCGCGAACGTCGAGACGGTGGGGGGGGGGGGGGGTCGAACCGCGGCTGCTTCTAGCGGGACGCGACGCCGCTCGGCTCCCCAACCCGATCCACCCGGCACACCGGGATTAACCAACCCGAGAGCGGCGCGGGCAATGTCATTCCGATCCAACGCGGCACCCGCGACACTTCCTCCGGCAGTCCCGAGGCTAAGCGACATCCGCCCGCCGCCCGCGACACACACAGCGAATTGACGAGAGCGACGCGCAATATGGCGGGAGAGGGGCGAGAGGTGACGCGCGCCAACTTCACGCGCACCACACTTCACGCGCGTCAACCAGGTCGCGCGACACGACGCCGCGAC